GTAATATCGGTATTCAGGGTTTCTTCCTCGAGCAGAGTTCAGTGTTGATTCCCTCAACATGACAAATGTTTAGGCGAAGCGTGATCCATTTCTCGGTAGAGTAGAGCTCTTATGCAGGGTGGAATTTATTTCCAAGCAGAGTGGAGCTATTTCCCAAAAGTTTACTTTACTTCCCGGTAGGATCGTATTCTGAACGTTCTCCCCGGTTGAGTGTGTTTATTCCCTAGAGTGTTGGAAGGCTGTTCCGGGCGTTTCCCCAGCCTAGGCATTTGATCCCCATAAGAGTTGTTTTCTGGGAAGCCATCCAGGGAATTTTCCTCAGCAGAGTTTTGATTCCCAATGGAGTGGATTTTTGTTCTCTTTAGAACAATTGTGTCCGAGACATTTAAGAGATACATATTTATAATAGAAAATACCCAACAAACAAAGCCCAAAATCACATGGATCCATGGACCGAATTAAAAGCTTGAAAAATCAAAAACACTATTCACCATATAGACGACATTATTCACCGTAAGGATGACACTATTCACCGACCGATTTTTTTTCTCGATTTTTCGTCCGATTTTTGCGGTAAATGCAATCTCCAAAATATATTTTCTTTCTATTCATCAACAAAGGTTTTAAGGCACATTTACAACAATCTCCATCTTGACTTTAAACCGTGTTGATACCAATTTAACAATCAACAACGTTGTTGCTCTCTACCAAGTTGAAACTTTAATCAATAACTTTAATCAAATTCAAGCAACCCTTGAATCTTGACCTCGCAACTTGGATCCACTTATTCTCAATTACCCTTTTCTGCCTAGGTAATTTAGCAAGCCTACAAGTATGATTTTTCAACCACCCTTGACTCAACTTATTTTCAAATGCCTCACTAAAGGTTTTTCTTCTTTTATTTTGCAGTCCTTCAACCACATTAAAAACATAATATCCAAGGCTAGCATAACCGTCCTTTTGAGATGCTACAATAACCCTCCTTACCTTATCATGAGTCATATGATAATCAGAGATCTTTGTAATTGTTCCCTCACTACTGCTAGCATCCATAGTAGGAAACTCTACCTCAAACCGAGTTTTCTCCGTTATAGTTTCTCTCAGGTTTCTCTCTTGGTTTTCACTATTCTTCTTTTGAAGAAATTCTCTACCAACCATGTAAGTTGCGTTAACCTCAACTCTTCCTCAAAAAACTCAACAACAACTCAGCGATAACATGCATTTTTATCTCTTGATTTCTGCAAAATTCATTGTACTCCTCTTAAACTTTCTCAAGGAATTCATAACGCCTTAAACTCAAATCACATAGCTCTTTCTTGTCATGAAAGACTCCACTAGTTAACGATGAATGAATAATAACATTTGAACCTTCTAAAACATATAGACCACATATTTTAGACCCTTTAGTAATAATCAATTCATCACGCGAAATCTTCAACACTTCACGTTCAACTCTAGTACAATAGCCTAAATCATCAAACATACTTATAGATAACAAATTTTGCTTGAGTTCTAGAACATACCTCACATTGTGAATAATAAGTTCATGATCATTAAATATTTTAAATCTGACCATACCAATACCATGAATCTTGCATGCCTTATTATTACCAAGGCGAACTACTCCACCTTGCACCATATTAAAAGTTTCAAAGTATTCTATTCTTTGATACATGTGATAAGAGCAACCTGAGTCAATGGCCCAACTATCTTCAGTTTTCAAACTCGATATTACTAGTGTTTCGCCATCCTCATAACTTTCCTCACCCAATGCAACTACAACTTGAACATAATCTTCATTGACCTTTCTTTCAAGACAACCCCTTTTAAAGTGACCGATTTTCTGACAATTAAAATATTTTACCTTTGACTTGTCAGACCTCTTTGATTTGGACATCACTTTACGCTCACCTCCTCCTCTTGACACATTTAAACCTTCACCACCATCTTCAATCTTTAAATCTTTCGACTTTGAAAATTCTTTTCACCGCCATCTGAACTTCATCCAAAGTAATAGTGTCTTCCTTACCATAAAGAAGGGCATCCTTAAAATGCTCAAAGGATCTGGATAATGAACTCAACAAAAGTAAAACCTTGTCCTCATCATCAATCTTCACTTCAATATTCTCAAGATCATCCATAATATTGTGAAATTCTATGAGCTGCTCAACTATGGATTTGTTCTCCACCATTCGGAATGAATAAAGTTATTTTTTCAGATACAACCTGTGAGTCAAAGACTTTTTCATATACAATGATTCAAGTTTTGCCCACATAGCAACCGCAGTTTGCTCCCTAGCGACTTCTCTTAGAACTTTATCCCCGAGGCACAAGATAATAACACTCTTGGCCTTATCCACCATCTCGGTCTTCTGTACCTGTGTAGGCCCTGTACACATCAATGCTTCACTCTTCAAAGTATCGATACACTTCTCTTGAATTAAAATTGCTTGCATCTTAATTTTCCACAGCCCAAAATCGTTGTTACCGGAAAATTTCTCGATCTGCCATCTAATAACCATGGTGCTCAATTGTCAACAATATCTCTTTGCTCCATGCTCACCGCACCACTTGTTGTGAATTGCGAAAAAATTCAATATCAATTTGTGAGGCAAAGAACAATAGCAACTAAAATAAATGGTCTACAACAATAATAATCTGTACACAGATAATATAACAGAATAAGACAAGAAAAAATCGAAGGTATGTTTACCCAGTTCGATCAAACGATATACTCTAAGGGAGAGAGCAAATCTCCAATTCTATATTCAGAAAGTTGTTACAAGAGATTACAAATGAGTTACAAGAAAAATAATCTTCGTCTTCAGGGTCCGAAGAACAACCCGGAAGGCGCCCAAGAACAACAATATTTTCTACCCAAGTGTTTCCCTACCTCTCAAATTCTCAATATATGAATCACTCAAACCTAAGGTGTAATCCAAAATTTTCTTTGTACATAGCGGAAACCCTATGCTATACCTTTAAACCTTTGGTCTCCCTTATTAGTGAAAACTCTAAGATTGTCACACACCAGATATATAAGAGATACATGTTTATAATAGCAAATGTCCAACAAACAAAGTCCAAAATCACATGGATCCATGGACCGAATCGAAAAAAGTCTGAAAACTCAAAAATATTATTCACCGTACGGACGACACTATTCACCGACTGATTTTTTCTCGACTTTTTGTCTGACTTTCTAAAACTTCTGATTTTCGTGATAAACGCAATCTCTAAAATATGTTTTCTTTTTCTTCATCAACAAAAGTTTTAAAGCGCATTTACAACAATTATAAATTTAATTTCGTTTTTAATTTAAATAATAGGGTGGTGGCTATAAAGTAAGAGAGAGAAAAAAATATTTTAAGTTTTTATTTAATAAAAAAATTATGATCGATTGTTTTCTAAAGATACGTGTTATATCTATTTCTATACAAGTATTACAAGTATTTGTACACTCCTTAACTAATTCTAGTAAAAGTTTTGAAAAAATATGCATTTTAAAAGTTTTTCTTACTCACACTATCTATCTATCTATCTATCTATCTATCTATCTATCTATCTATCTATATATATATATATATATATATATATATATATATATATATATATATATATATATATATATATATATATATATATATATATATATATATATATATATATATATATATATATATATATATATATATATATATATATATATATATATATATATATATATATATATATATATATATTATAGATGTTAAGTTGATTATTAATCCTATATTTAATATAAATTAAAATCTTTATATATATATATATATATATATATATATATATATATATATATATATATATATATATATATATATATATATATATATATATATATATATATATATATATATATATATATATATATATATATATATATATATATATATATATATGAAATCAACTTACTCTAAGAATAATTTTTTTTAACTTATTTCACATTATAGTCTTTAAATTGAATTTAATTTAATCGTTAAATTAATATTTTTATTTATAATTATTGGATTAAATCTAATTTAAAAATTATAATTCTGAAATAAGTTATAAAAATCTACTATTTCAATAAGTGAATCCTCATATATATATATATATATATATATATATATATATATATATATATATATATATATATATATATATATATATATATATATATATATATATATATATATATATAATTTCAAATAACCTTTTTTTAAATATATATTAAATTAATCATTTTTTAAATGTGTTACCGGCAATAAAATTAATTAGGGCTGATACATGATACATCAACCCTAATTGATTTAACTCAGAGCCACAACATAATCAATATCTTTCTTCACTAGCAGAGACGCACCGTATTCTTCTGTTTCTTCGTCAACACACTAATTTCTTCCAAGCTCAATTTCTCTTACCACTTTTATCATAGACTTTTCATTACCTCATTTTGTAAAACTAGCGGTTTGCTGGCCCAAACCAATCCGGATCGGACCGCGGTTTCCGGTTCAACCGGACCATAGATTTATGTTAAATACCAAATCCCAACCGGAAACTAAGACTTAGACCTTTCTTCCCGCAGCTCTACTGTTTCCTCGCCGTCAATCAACCTTGCCGTTTCCGCATTCTGCATCGTACCCGCACCGTTCCGGTGAGTGAGTTTTACCTCTATGCTTTACTTATCAATTTTCATTGTATAGTTTCCCTTAAATTTTCATTCTGGTTCTCCAAGTTTTACAAAACCCTAAAGTGCAGCATAGAAATTACGCGTTTAGGTTTATTTCTTCAATTTGTGGCAAAGCACATGAGTTGAGTTTCTTTTTATACTATGTTTATTCTAGTTGGTGTAGTATTTTTGTTTGGTATTTCTGCGGAAGCTATCAACTTAAATTATGCAATGGATTTGGTTTCAATCGGATTAAAAATGTGTTACCATGTAATTTTGTATTATTTGCAGGGTATTTGACTTGTTTGGAAAGATGAGATTGTTAACACACAATATGCTATCTTCAAACATTAGGGGCGTGGTGAATGGATTTCCATTGCGTATAGAAGCCGAGAAAGTGCTGGAAAAGAATGTGGAAATGAATAGTGACTTTTTGAAAAAGATGTTTGAGAAGATTGAGTGGAAGGCTTTTGTGGAAGCATCACGGGGAATGGGATACACTGAACTACCCGAGGAGGCTGATTCTTCCATGCTGGACTCAGACGAATTTCTGAACCGATTCCATCATGCCCTGTTGGAACTTCACCTTGAAGAAGGTGCTCTTGTTTGCCCAGAGACTGGACGGCGCTTCCCTGTCAGAAAGGGTATTCCAAATATGCTTCTTCACGAAGATGAGGTCTGAAACTTTTGTAATTAGCCCTCACATTGCATGTTTTCTTGTACACTGTTTGCTGGTAATGGAAAGAAATCAACATCAGTTAAGAGTTGTTATTTTAATAAAGTTGATTTGTTAACAAATGTTAGTATGGTTGCCCTGGCCGGCCGTTGCTTGATGATTTAGCTATTTCCAACTGCATTAAAAAGGCATCCAGAGCATTGTAGTGTCTTGGTTTAGATGAGTTTCTGTTTTATTCCTTTAGAATTTATGTCAATTGTGTTCATCATCGTGATGCTCCCTCTCATAAGTCATAAATAGGTCGATATTGAGATCCTCCATCTTATTAAACTTATGAAAGTATTTTGAGATTTTATGTGTTGTGTGTTCCATTAATGCAGAAGGAACTCCCAAGAGAATGTTTGTCTGAATGGAATTTGAGCAAGTTATACATAAATAATTATTAAAAATCAACACGAGTTTCTCAAATCACTATAATAATAGCACATAGCTGAACTTACAAGTGACGAAAAAAACTCAACCATTTCTTGCTCTAAAAATAAACATGTTTTTCTATATAAGGAGTCTTTAAGTTTATGTGAACATTAATTGTTGTGCCAAGTTAGATTTTGTCAAAAAGTCTAAGTTTGTCCCTAAGTCTATCATAAGTTTATTTTTATGTTTGACTTTGATCTTTTCAAATGTTTGGACATTTACAAATAAGTCTTTCAAATAATGGTTAAATAGTTTGGACATTTACAAATAAGTCTTTCAAATAATGGTTAAATAGATTAACATTAAAATATCGATTAAATGTTGGTTTGCATGACTTATTCGAATTTATCTATTAATATAAGTTTTGTTATATTATTTGTTTAAGAGAATTTATCAAAACAATATAATTATAAACTTTTTTGTGTAGATCGTCATTTAGAAAAGTCATAATAGCTTTCTTCAACTTACATGTTTTCCTTTGATTATAAGAAATATTTGGGGAAGGTATCATATAAACTTTTTCATGAAAATTACCATTTAGAAAAATATTTTTAACATTTATTTAAAAAATTTGTCCCTGACAAACTAATGAAACTGAAATAAGAGTTTGAATAGATATCATCTTGGCCACTATTGTAAATGTTTCTTCATAATCTATATCATATTTTTTTTAAAGAAGACATTATAAAAAATAATATGTTTTGTAGCGGTCAATAGACTCATCAGACATGATTTTAAATTTGTATATTCAACTACACGTTTGTAAGTATTTGACTTGTGAAAAGCATAAAACTCTTCTACCATAGCCTTTTATAGAAGAATGACTACTCTCTCTGTCCTAAAATATAAGACTTTTTGAATATTTTACATGAATTAAAAAAACTTAATTATTGTTTTATGAGAAAGACAAATTATGTATGATTTTACAATAATGTCTCATAATTACACAAGGGAGAGAGAAATTAAAAGAGTTAAAAGAATAAATAATAATAAATACTTTATAGTATATTGAAAAAAATATCATTAATATTGCATTAGAAACGTAAGTTGACTTATAATTTGGAACAAAGGGAGTAAAACAAACTATGAATGAAAGTTAGAAAAAAAATAGAGTAAATGAATAGATAAAATTAGACAGTTTAATAGACTTATGATAATGAGACAAATAACAAGGGGAAGAAAGAGTAAAAAAAAAACACAGTAAAATGAATAGATAAAATTAGACAATTTAATAAACTTACGATAACGAGACAAATAATAAGAGGAAAAAAGAGTATGATCAACAATTGTGGGATATGGTTGGGCAGGCATGGGGACAATAAAGTATTAGTATTAAAAGTAGCAGTAGTATCAACTTTGTAATCCTCATAATTAGAATCAGTAAGAATATTATCATTAATACTAAAGTGATCCCCTCGACAACGAGTTGAACATCTGGATTCACAATTTAAAGCTGATCCAAAGCGTTGCAGAATCCTACCTCAAGAGCCCTTAGACAGTCCTGCTCAAGCTCCCAGATCCGAGCTACCAAGTCGTCGTGATTAGCGAAGGCTTTCTCGTCGGTTTCGTCCTCAGTAGGGGTGGCAGCATCCTCCAATTCAGCAACCCTGGCTTCGAGTTTGTCCCTCTCTCCCTCGACCTCTTTTAGTGTTTCCCGCATCACGGTCAGGTCTTGGAGGAGACGCATCTGAGCCTCGTACTTCGATTGGTAGTCGAGGAGGCTGTTCTCGGCATTTTTCTTCTCTGTCTAAAGGGGCGCTGTTGCGGTTAGAATAGGATATCAAATTATTAATTAATTTGAATCGCAAATCTTTGATTCACAACCGACTTTTATTTATCCGAAGGAAAAGGTCAAAAGAAGGAAAACCTAATTGTTGCATCGTAAACAATGCAGGGAGAGACCTAGGTAAGGGGTTGGTTAAGCTTAGGGAAGGTACTAACACCCTAAACTTTTGTAGTACTCTACAGGAACCTTTTGTTTAAAATTTACTGTTTTGCTTTGGTATATTGCTAGGGTTAGAAGGTGAAAAGAAAGTCCTAAGTTTACTCGGCAAGATTCGCATCTTGTGCCTACGTATCCTGGATAGGGAATGGAATCAGAGTAATCGTAGTTTCCCTCGAAAGGGAGGTTAAAAACTTCTTGACTGTGGTCAAGGTTCCATGGGGAATAAACGTTCATAGGAAAGCGTTTACGTGGAGTGCGGCGACTCTTATTTCTACGTTGTAATTGAATTAAAATTGAAAGGGTAAATAGGTATTCCACGGCGGGAAACCTAAAATGATTAGGGTTTTGGAAAGGGAAATGTTCAAAGGTTAGGGTTATTGATTCGGCGGTCAAACGGCTATACCTAATCCTTCGGAAGGGATTTAACGGTGAATAATGCAAATGAATAATTGATTACATGGCATAATTGGAATATGAGAAAGCGTAAGACACTAAAAGAATTGCAAAGCGACGATAACCTCACGTAAATTACAACCATGAAAAATGCAAGAATGATAGCGAAATAAAAGCGACGATTGTCTCGCGTAAATTACAACCATAAAATAAAGTGTAAAAAGTAAATGATCAATAAACTATACAACTGAGAAAAAAATGTTAGGAACGTCATAAAGTTAGACGAAAATTAAAGGGGCAGAGGTTAAGAATCAGGTTAAATTACAAATTAGAAATAAAGGGGCAAAAGTGTTTAAAAAAATTTATTAAATGGAATAATATTATAGTTAGATTAAAATGTTAGAGATTAAATTTAAACAAAATGTAAGAAAATTTTGAATTAAAATGTTAGAGTTTTAAAAAGTTAATTAGAATTTTAATTAGTATTTTAAAAAAAAGAAAGAAAGGAATTAATGTTAATGGAAAGAAAAAGTTAGATTTTGATTTTTTTTTAAGAAAAGGCTAATTATACAAAACAGTCATAAAAAAGAATTAATAAATAAATATAAAAACATTACAGGTTAATTATGATTTTTTTAAAAAAAGTTAATTGTCAATTTAATCAGGATTTAATAGAATAAAATAAGAGAGTTAAAGAGATGAGATTTTGTGAGATTTACAATAAAAAGGGATTAAAAAAAATAAAAAGTTAGAAACTTAGATTAAGAAATGTTAGCAAATTTTTTTTTTTTAAAAAAAGATAGAATTTCAACTTAAAATAAATGTTAGAATGAAAATATATTTAGAATTTTGATTTATTAACAAAGTCTTATTTTGAAAAAAAAAGTTTTAAATTTTAAAGATAGTTTCTGATTGAAAAATAAGTTTCTAACCAATTTTAAGAAATAAAAGTTTTAATAAAAAATGTTCTTATTAACAAAATGGTTTTTAAATAAAAAAGAAAATTTGGATGTTTTAATCTTAAAAGGATTTAATTTTAGTTATAAAGAAAAAGATTTTTATCATAAGTTATTAACTTAATTTTAACACTAAATTATTAAAAAAAAATTATTATTAACTATAAAATAAAAAAGTTTCTAATTCTGAATTCCCAAAACATTATTAATTTACAATGTTAAATCATTAACTATGAGTTAAAATGTTATCAATTATGACTAAAAAAAATAAAACTAAATATAAGTTTTAAAAAATTGAAGAGAATATGAAGGATAAAAATGGGAGGGGCTTTCACGATGCATTTGCTTCATTAGGGTTTTTTTACCCTCTTTCTGTTTCTTCATCCATTGGCGGCGCGACCTTCTTCCATGGTTTTTGCTCTGAAATTCCTCCCTTCTTGCTTGCATGGTCATGGATTCCTCTTATTTGTGACTCCTGCAAAACGAAATTGGTAAAAAGCAAAAGAAACCCCAAATTGCTCACCTATTCCTCTAAGGGTTTGAAGCGATTGGCGACCGTATCCTCGTATTGGAACAATAATGATGGTGAATAAACTCCCTTCTGAGTTCGTGTGAGTTTCTGATGAAAACTCCCTCCTGTTCTTCTTGTTCTATTAATTTTCTGGGGTTTTTTCTTATTTTTCGTGATCCCCCATCTTCTGATGATTGGTTCTGTTCTTATATTCTTCTTTGATGATGATCTGGGCCTGGGTGCTGTTATGATTTTCCTGCTGAGTTTGTTTTTGAGATTTTTCAGGAGCCTTTGACGCCTGAAATGTTGGGGGAATTTGCGAAAAAATTGTTGCGCAAATGTTGGTTGCTATTGAGCTTTTTATGAACTGGTTGTTAGTATTGCGAGGATCTCGCTTGATCCATTGGCTTTGGAATTTTTCTGAAATATTGTTTTAGGCCTTGTTTGGTCAAACCAATTTTCTAAAAAAAAGTGCTTTTACCAAAAGCGCGTTTCCAATAATCACTTTTTTTAAGAAATCATTTTTCTCTCTCTTGGAACAAAAAGAACAGTTGTTGCCTGATTTGCCGGAGTCGAGAAATTGAGTCGGGAGCTGGCGACGGAGTATTCAGTTACCCTTCCAACGTACCCGATGATGAACATTTTCTGAGGGTATCGGGACCAATAAAACCAAATTGCTAACCATAAAAAAAGTTGTTCTGTTTATTTTGCAGGTTCGGAGAAAACAGACCGGGATCGAAGAATCGGACTTGAAGGGTAGTTTAGGAATTTTAGAAACTTAGGAAAAAAATGTAATTTAATTCCTTTGTAACCTTATTTTTGTAATTATTTTATTATTTGGATATTGTAATAATAAAAATAATAGCATACATAAAAACTTAATTTTATTATTTGGCTATTGCAACAAAATAATAAAATAAATTCTATTTTCTATTAATTCGAAATTCTCAATCCAATTCATCCGATTAAATTTCTTCTCCGATAAAATTCCCGAGTAACTCTTTCGATAACTTAAATGAATAACATCATCTGAATAAATCCAACTTGTTCGATTAAATCCAAATGGCTAAACTCTTCATCCAAATAAAAATCAAATTAATTAAATTCCTCAAATGAGACTTATCCGATTTCCAACTCCGAACTCGACAATTAAACATTTTGTACGGCTTAGATCGGACGCAACTGAGCTCAAACAAATCATCTGACAAATTAATGTGTGGCTGACAATAAAGTCAGTGAATATGGCCTTGAACAGATAAGTAGAGAATCCATTTTCCTGCAAAAACCAACAGACTAAACAAACTGGTTAGCGGTTAGTTAAAAATGACGTGCGAAATGAACCTAACAACCTCGGGGCAAAATTTGAGGTATTACAGGCGCGTTCTCTTCCCGCAACATCTTCAGCTCGGAAGTGGGGTTGGTCTCGTCGTTGAGGACCAGGGTCGTCTCAAAGATCCTCATCATGGCGGTCATATCCTTAGACAAAGCTTTCCCCTAGGTCACCTTGTCAACGCCCATGATCGCCTTGGATTCCGCCACGGGCACGACCAGGGAGTTGTCCCCACCGAAAAGCCCCCGATGAAGATGGCATAGGGGCAACACGAACCTTTCCCGACAAACCCATCCAGAAGGTTCACGAGCTCAGACTCGTCGGTACGCTACCTCTTGGATGGGTTCTCTTGCGAAGGGGGAGACTGGCTGCACTGCGGAGACGGGGAGAAATCCCCGGGATGCCGATCAGGCTTTGACATTTGTTGAACCTGGGTGACACGGCCTTTGGTAGCCTTCTTCATACCTTTGGTCGCTGTGAGCTCCATCACACGTTCCTAAAGGCTCTACATCTGGCCTGCAACAAAGAAAAGAACACGTTAGCACGACAAGGGAAAATAAGCGGACACACAAATGCACTAGAAAGACCTACGTAAGAGTCTCAATGCTTTCCCGTCGGAACCACACTCGAGGAAGACCTTGGTGTTAATCAACCGGGACTCGAGGCGAACCTCCCTGCGCTCATCACGAATAAAACTCTCGTCCTTGTTGACATACTTGACAGGAGTAAAATTGATGAATGCGATTATCTTCTCATAAGTGAGTTGATCCTCGGCGTCCAGCTCGTCTGGCTTGGTGATGTAGCTCTCTGTCTACTTGTCGAACCACTCAGGAGGGAACTTTGCTTCCAAAGCCTCCACTTGTTCCCCATTCTCGCGCTTGGTCACGCGATCGAATAGGGAGTTAATGGACGAATGCGATGCGGCCTTTACGACAAAGTACACATCCTTAAAAGCACTCACAGAATCTAGGTACGCCCTGAACAACTTCCTCGACTGCTTCAGAGATACCTAACTATGTCGGCCATGTAAGGATTGTCGCTGAAGGTGAAACGTGCGGAAGAACAAGGGGAGCATGGCACCAATGCAAAGATGTTGACACACGAGCTCAAACACCCGCATGAACGCGATCGCGTTGGGGTGAAGTTGTGAAGGCGCCAAAACCAGCCACTGGGATACCCCCTTTTGGAAGTCACTGAAGGGCAAACGAATCCCGGCTTCCCGGAACGCGAACTCGTACATCGGAAACAGCATCCCTTTAAACGGAGAGCATATCTGGTGCGTCTCTCTAGGCTTGTAGACCATCCAATTCGTGGAGGCCCCTTCGGCGAGATCCTCGACAACCGCAAAAATGTCCAGGCCATCGAGGGCGAAGCGCAAAGCGGTGTTGCTGGGCTCCAGCCCGACCCAATCGAACGATGTATCGGCTTCCGCGGTCTCTACTTCCTTGTCGACCGAATCGAGCTCGACTTCTTCGTCGACCATGACGACTCTCTCGGGCTTCGCAACCATTTTAGCTGAAAACTAGAGGAAAACGGTGAATTCAACACCTAAGTTCAAATCCATCCTTCCACCGCAAATCAAGTGAAAGGGTGAGGAAATGCTCGGCACACGTCCTCGACCGAAGCCCTTGCCGACAAGCGAGTGGTCGTGAGGAAATTCTCCTCGGCGGGGAATATGAAACCTCTCTCCGCAAGAGAAAGGTTCCTCGGCGCTTAAACTCCCCACCAGAATCAAACATGGGATGTCTCCTCGATGAGAGACTTCCTCGTGGTACTCATGCGTCCGCGGGGAGAAGGTTTCCCCGATGAAGGGCCCAACGAGGACGCTAAAGCCTCATGAGGTCCCCCGAGACCTTCATCGAAAACTCCATGCATTTTCCCATAATCTTCATGAAGTCCCCAGAATCTTCATCGTAAACTTCATAATTTCGCTGGGAACTTCATGAGGTCGCCAGGAACTTCATAGGCCTTCCGGAAAATTCGCTGGAAACTTCATGAGCTTCCCGAAAACTTCATCGGAGACTCAACAAATTCCCCGTAAAATGCATGAAACGCCAGAAAAAGCATAAATTGGAAAGGACAAAAGACTTACAAAAGGCTCAAAAAGGCGTCACGCGTCCTTTCAAAACCCAGTTCAACGCTTGAGGGAATGACGTGTCCATCCCTTTCAATTACGCCACACCACCCAACCTGTCGAGCACGATGCGTGACCCTTGCGCTGCCAGGATTACTTCCTCTGGAGAAGATGAAAAGAAAGCCACAACTACATGTGGCGAGCAGGCCTCCACGCAGGCTGACCGACCACGGACGAAGCTCACTGTCGAGCACGATTAATGACTTCTGCGTCTGGTCCCAGATAGGCCTGCGAGCTCAGCGCCGCAAACACGAGCGATGATCGTCCGAGCAAGTCCCTGCGCACCTCCTCGATGCAACAATTGACTCATACGCTGCGAAGCAACGATTTGGGGGGTTCCTATTCTAGACTGGACCAGAAGCTGGCCCACCGTCAGGCACAGCCCAACCCAACTCCTCGTCAAAGAGGGCCCAATGAAAGTCCAATTCATCATCCCACACGAGGAGCTCTCACGCGTCTCCTCCACGGTCTCCATGTGCTCTCCACACGGGGACACGTCATCATGTAAGTACCCACATCCGAGAGAACAGGTCCTCCACCTTCCGAAGATCATAGGACAATTAATCTAAGACGAAGACCACGTGTTGGACTTCCCTACGTCACATAGATCCTGACAATTATCCGCATTGGGCCTAATGATCCAACCCAGTGCAAATAACCATTGACCCAACGCTAGGGACACATTATAAATACACTCTTTCAATAGAGGGTTAAGTATTCTAAACTTTCTACAATATGTACTTGTTTTCTCTCACTTCTTTTCTACAATATGCACATTATAAAATCATTATGTTGAGTCTTAACTATTCCACAAAACATAGTATAAATATAAAAAAAAAATTCATTATGATTTTTCATAACATAAATCCAATAATAACAAGTATATTCATCAATAAACAACATATTATATCTAGATCAACTTTTGGGAATAACCATTGATCGATCTCATACATCAAATTGAACTAAATCAAATGGTGCATGCATATGAAATGTAAACACTTTTATTAAAATATAAAGACAATTATTTATTATATAGTGCAAAAAAAAGATTAAAGATAATTAGAAATGTGTTAGTAAAAAAATTAACAAGATGAAGCTGATAGAACAAGATGGGCTATAAAGATGGACAGAGTCATTTTACAATCCACTAGTACAAATTTGTTAGATTGACTAGTTGACATAATCATAGACTAAGTATGCACAAGAAAAAAGATGCTGAGAAGATTGTGTAAGCATAGATATGCTCATTCAATTTTCTCAATTTGGCGGCATGCCTCCAATATATAACTATATTTTTCTGGGAATGCCTTTCTATATATTTCTGCCACTTCAGTTACAGTTTCCAACAGCTCCCTTTTAATCTTTGACACTTTAGATCCCAACTGTTCTTTGTATTTCGTCACTGAGTCAATCACGTTAAAGAGTTCGCGACCATGCATTTGAATCTCTTCTTCACATTGTCTCATCGTTTCCTCCAATTTTAATTCAGATGCCTTAACAACGACGGACAAATGTTCAAACATTCAACAACTATCAAACTCGTTTTCCATAATGTTGTTCAAATATGATTGAGTTTAATATTAAAGAAAAAAAGTAAGAATCCAAATTTTACCTTTAAAATCTCGGCTGACTCTCTTTCCATAATACTCATATCATGATCTGTTTGTTGGATGTCATCCGTCATGTTCTTAGCTTCAGCCGTACACCTACTAGTGTAGTCCTGAGTTTCCTTCTTTATCGTGTCTATTTGAGCTTCCAGCTAATAAATAAATCAACATGCAGTAGAAAAAAAGTCAAACAACAGTCTTTACATGGCAAGATAATTCATTTTTCCAGTACCCGTCTAACTCCAACAAAGAGTATAGCATAAACATTGACAGAAAAAAGAAGAGTCAGTATAAATTTGATTTGTCATCAATACAACACTTTAAAGCATTTTGTTTTTCGGTCACATACTATATCATTCTCCACAATTCTAGGGATGTCAAATTTAAAAAAAAAAGTTAGTTACCTAAAATAAATACTTTGAAATGGACCATTGTCCTGCTATTAGTATTTAGTCATGGTCACATGGAGTCATACTAAAATCAGGTGACAAGTACAGGGTGTGATTTCAATTTAAGGAGATAAGAACACGCATTAGAACTAGTACAGGCTAGAAATACAGGCATGAGCCATCAATTCAACAATATTACCCTAACACCAATTTCCACATTCTAAGCTAACATATAATGGAAAAAGGCAGTAAAGCTCCGAATTAGAACATTGATTGAGAACAAAGAAAAGAGGACATAGTATTGGGAACCAAGTTTAATTTTGAATGATGTGCTGGCTGCGATTTAGTGTGCTACAGCTACTGCTTCATTAATGGGTGAGTCATCTCTGCAATTCGTTTAGGTGACGGTTCCTGCAGTAGACTGTTCTTAGAAGTTACCACAACTAGAAGCTTCAACATGTCTTCATAGTGTATCAAAAGAACTTTATTGCTAGAAGAGCTAATACATTGATTATTTATTATCATAATGCCCCTCCTCTCTCTTTGTAATTATGAGTGATGTTCTATAATGATATGTGCATTGAACAGTTCCATGAATATAACTTTATAGTAAGTATTGTTAATATGACACTGAAATTGATTGAACGTTTCGTGCTATTGGTTTGAACAAACAGTTTATCCATCCATACTTATAAAGTATGCATTTCCCTTTTTCATATCTTTTTATTTACTATACTCATATTTAGGTAAGCTTTTTACATGAGCAGAATGTTACCAATTTGTGGTTCCATATGAAAGTGTATTTTGTTGGAGCAAAACACTCTTATTTCAACTTTTTATGGTGTATTCGTATTAAGCTCCTTACTCTTTGGCTATAATAACTCAGATTGATTTTATTCCTGAAAGATTACCAATTTACTCAAAGATTGATTTTATTCCTGAAAGATTACCAATTTACTCAATGATTGATTTTACTCTTGTGCAGTTCTATCTTTGCTTTTATGTTGAGTCAGCACAATTCTATCTTTGTTCTTGTTTAGGTCTATGTTCCCTCAACAATTTACTTTTCAATAGTTTCAATCATACCTTGTGATTTTATTATAACAAACTTATATATTTATATTTTGAAAATGTCTACGTTAAATAAAGTAACGAACACCACGCAACCCGTGCTACCGCACAAATACAATACTAGTTAGTGGATAGGAAAACATAAATCAGAACAAGAACAAGTTGGAATTGGAAAAAGAGGCATCAATTATAACTAATTTAAACAGACCCTCAAATTCTCTGGTCAACACGTCATCTATTCTTATGCCACATACTACAATTTTTCCCACAAAAAAATTTTGATTTGGCATCTCTAAGAAAACCCTACTCTAGCTCTTCTCTTTTGTGCCTAGAAAAGCACATTCCCCCGGTACTCACAATAAATCTCCTAGAAAGCACTTGTGTGTGTTACACGATTACACCTCCTCCAGCTCAAAAGCCCTCATGTAATGCCCAATACCTAAATCTACACTGTTCCGCATCCAATGCAAAGATACCGAAAAGAGTCTAAATCTCTGATATTGTGTAACCATGAGACTCTTATTGTCACTTTTGCTAGTTATATTGAAATAATCAAATCTGTTGTAAATATTAGACTGTAAATAGTAATTAGTAGTATTAGTAATGAGGCCCATTAGTCAAAACCCATTAGGTTTTCTATTCTCTCTTATTTAAAGCATGTAGTTGCAACATTGTAAATAGAACTTTTAATTCTATCAGTGAAATATTTTACAATATGGTATCACAGCTCCTGTTTTTTGGGGGTCTCGCTTCCGCATAAACCCTAGCCGCCGTTGTAACGGTGTTTTTTTTCTTTTTTTCACTGCCGGTCATCCTTGCAGTTTTTTTTTTTGGGTGTTTGGATCATTGCTGTTTTTTCATTCTATTGCAGTTCTATTGCAACCCTACTGCTTGTTTTTTGGTTTCTTTGTATTTTTTCTTTGTGATTCAATACATATCTGCTGTTTGTTCCTCTCGATTGTCCCTTCAATGGCCGAGATTATTAACCAACAACCACCTCCGCCTCCACCTCCCACAAATCCACCAGTCCCATTTAATGCTAAGGATTTTGTCGTTCAAAAAGGTTACTGGCTTACCGGAAAAAATTATTTTCAATGGTCTCAGTTCATCAGACACACTCTAAAATGTTGTGACATGCTAGATCATATTGAAGGCAATCCTCCTCTGGTTACTGCTCCTAATTTCTCTTCCTGGGATAAAGATGATTCTGCTATTATTACTTGGCTTTGGAACTCCATATCTCCAGAAATTAGTAGAAATTGCATGTATCTCTCAAGTGCAAAGGCAGTTTGGGATTATCTTCGTCGAAGTTATTCCATGAAACAAGATATGTCTGCTTGTTATGATTTAAAGAGGAAAATATTCAACACTAAGCAGGGAAGTCTTTCGGTCAACGATTACTTTGGAGTTCTCAATGGTTTTTGGATTGAGTTGGATCAATATCAGAATTTGAAGATGGAGTGCAGCAAGGATACTGCCACCTTGAATACTGTTGTTGAGCGGGATAGGATCTTTGATTTCTTAGCCGGCCTTAATGCTGAACTTGACCCCATTCGGGTGCAGATTTTGGGTAAGGAAAAATTTCCTGATCTTAATGAAGTTTTTTACACTGTTCGTCGTGAGGAGACCCGTCGTCAAACTATGCTTCATGAACAGCCCCCGGATGTGTCAGCACTAGTAGCTAGAAAAACAACAAGACAAGGACCACCATCGTCATCATCTAAGAATGGTCGTGACAAATTCTATTGTGAGCATTGCAACCAATCAGGGCATACAAAGGATAGGTGTTTCAAACTACATGGAAGGGAACAGGTTCTTAGCCGAGGAGGTAGTTCTCGCAACATGCACCAGCATCAGGCACATGTTGTCACACATGCCCATGATACTGACAGATTTGAAAAAGAGGAAACTGATCTTTCCTCCTTCAGCCAGAATGACGTGGAACGGTTGAAGTCTATGCTTGACTCCATGAGTAAGCCTTCTGGTTTTGGGTCTCTAGCAGTTACCGGTAAGAGTTTGTGTTCCCGATCTTTTACTGTTTGTGGTAATATCCCTAAGAATGCGTGGATTCTTGACTCTGGTGCTACTAATCATATGACATTTGATTCCACATTATTATGCTCTTATACCACACCTTCGAGTATTCCTTATATCACTGTTGCTGATGGCTCTCAGGCTTGTGTTGTTGGCACTGGAAATATTGACTTGCAACCTCCATTTCAATTGCAATCCGTGCTTCATGTTCCCACACTTTCCCACAATTTGATTTCCATCCATAAGCTTACCCGTGATCTAAATTGTAAAGTAACGTTTTTTATGTCCCATTGTATTTTTCAGGACCTTACCACGGGGAAGACGATTGGAATTGCTAAGGAAAAGGAAGGGTTATACTACTTCTCTGATGACCATCCAAAGGTGTTGTCCTCCTGTCTCCAGTCTCAGTCTTCCTCTTCAGCCTCACACATTTGGCTTCAGCACAAGCGTCTCGGTCACCCTCCATTTTATATCATTAAGTCTATGTTTCCGTCATTGTTTTTAATCCGTCATTGTTTTTAAACCATTCTGTTGAGTCTTTTAAGTGTGATGTTTGTCAGTTGGCAAAACACAATCGTGTAACTTTTCCTTCCAGTTTTAATAAAAGTGCTGAACCTTTTGATGTGATTCATTCTGATGTTTGGGGACCTGCCCCTACCTCTAATATTTTTGGTGCAAAATGGTTTGTTTCATTTATTGATGATTGTACTCGGGTAACTTGGATTTTCTTGATGAATACTAAATCCGAAGTACCACAAATATTTATCCAATTTTATAATATGGTACAAACACAATTTGGGAAATGTATAAAAAGAGTTCGTTCTGACAATGGTAAAGAATATGTCAATCATACCTTCTCCAACTTCACTAGTAAACATGGCATTCTTCATGAATTCACATGTGTTGACACCCCACAACAAAACGGTGTCGCAGAAAGAAAAAACCGTCATTTACTTGAAGTTGCTCGATCTCTCCTGTTTCAAATGTCTGTTCCCACCTCTTATTGGGGGGAGGCAGTTCTTACTGCTGCCTATCTGATTAATCGGGTCCCATCTCGAGTGTTAGGTAATATTAGTCCTGCTCAATTTATGCTCTCACGTTTTCCCTCTGTTCCTATCTTACATAATCTTGAGTCTCGCGTGTTTGGTTGTGTTGCTTTTGTTCATGTTCACAAACAATATCGCAACAAGTTGGATCCCCGTGCTGTCAGATGTATCTTTCTGGGTTATGCACCCAATAAAAGAGGGTACAAATGTTACCATCCTCTGAGTCGGAAATTCTTTGTCTCCAAAGATGTCACCTTTCATGAAAATGTGTCATACTTCACTCATTCTCAGTCTCAGGGGGAAAACATGAGTGACTTAGAGTCTGAGTCCGAGTTTCTGATCCTTGGTCCTAGCCTCCCGAGAACACCTGTCAGTGTTCCCTCTCTTGAACCCGAGTTGTCACCTAGTTTGAGTTTGAGTCCTAGTTCAACACCTGAATCTGAGTCAGTAATTGTTCCTGGTCCTTCAATGCCTTATGTTCCTCAGGAATCAGCACCTTCAGCACCAACTCTAGTATATCAGAGAAGAAGTAAATTTGACCTTCTCCAGAAACAAATTCAATCGTCTGAACCGGAGGTAAGTACTGAAAATGATTCCTCAAATGATGATTGTTCTATTTCTGATACTTGTGACACTAATCCAGTTGATTTACCCATTGCTTTGAGGAAAGATAAAAGATCTTGTCCCTCCTTATATCGACACCCTATCTCTCAATATGTCTCCACTAAACATCTTTCCACACAATATCAAAGTTTTATTGCAGCTGTTGATTTTGTGAAAATCCCATTATCAGTTGAAGAAGCATTGCAAAATAGAAATTGGGTCCAAGCTATGGATGAGGAAATGAGAGCACTTGAAAAAAATGGTACTTGGGAGATTATTGAAAGGCAAAGAGACAAAAAGCCGGTTGGATGCAGATGGATCTATACCGTAAAGTATAAATCTGATGGCACACTTGATCGGTACAAGGCAAGACTAGTGGCAAAAAGTTATACTCAGACATATGGTATTGATTATAAGGAGACATTTGCCCCAGTGGCAAAAATGAACACTGTTCGAATTTTACTATCTCTTGCTGCTTCATGTGGATGGGAATTGCAACAGTTTGATGTTAAAAATGCATTCTTGCATGGAGACTTAGAGGAAGAAGTGTATATGGAGATTCCACCGGGTGTTGGCATAACAAATGAAGCTAACAAGGTGTGTAAATTGAAGAAAGCCTTATATGGACTAAAGCAGTCCCCTCGGGCATGGTTTGGAAGATTCACAAAGGCAATGGTGTGTTTGGGCTATAAGCAAAGTCAAGGAGACCACACTTTATTTTTTAAACATTCACAGGAAGGAAAATTGACTGTACTTCTTGTTTATGTTGATGATATTATTGTTACAGGAGATGATTTGACTGAGAGACATTTGCTCAAAGAGAAATTATCGGCAGAGTTTGAGATGAAAGACCTTGGACAACTCAAGTATTTCTTGGGAATTGAGGTAGCCTACTCAAAGCAAGGCATCTTTATCTCTCAAAGGAAGTATGTTCTTGATCTTTTGCAGGAAACTGGCAAACTTGGATGCAAACCTGCAAGTGTTCCCATTGAACAAAATCACAGGATAAGCTTTGAGGAGGAAAGTGACAAAGTTGACAAGGGTCAATATCAGAGATTAGTGGGAAAATTGATTTACTTGGCACACACTAGACCAGATTTAGCATATGCAGTCAGTGTGGTGAGCCAATTCATGCATGATCCGAGGGTGAGACATTTGCAGGCTGTAGACCGCGTCCTACAATATCTTAAAGCAACTCCAGGGAGAGGACTTTTGTTTAAAAGAGGTGAGAATTTAGCTATGAAGACTTACACTGATGCGGATTATGCCGGCTCAGTGAGTGATAGAAGATCTACGTCAGGCTATTGTACTTTTCTGTGTGGTAACCTTGTAGCTTGGAAGAGTAAGAAGCAAAGTGTAGTTGCTCGATCAAGCGCCGAGGCAGAATTTAGAGCTATGGCACTAGGAATTTGTGAACTATTGTGGATGAAACAAGTTCTAGAAGACTTGAAGATACAATGTGAAGGCCCTATGAAATTGTTTTGTGACAATAAATCGGCTATTAGTATTGCTCATAATCCTGTTCAGCATGACAGGACTAAACACATTGAGATTGACCGACATTTTATCAAAGAGAAGTTGGATAGTGGGCTGATAACTACATCTTACGTTCCTTCTGGGCATCAGCTCGCAGATGTGTTAACAAAAGGCTTACCAACAGAAAGATTCAAACAACTTACTTGCAAGCTGGGAATGATAGATATCCATTCACCAGCTTGAGGGGGAGTGTTGTAAATATTAGACTGTAAATAGTAATTAGTAGTATTAGTAATGAGGCCCATTAGTCAAAACCCATTAGGTTTTCTATTCTCTCTTATTTAAAGCATGTAGTTGCAACATTGTAAATAGAACTTTTAATTCTATCAGTGAAATATTTTACAATAAAATCTTATACATATAATGATTGTTATTATAAAGCAACTTAATTCTGATATGCATCCCAGCATTGCTTGGGATTTAACTACTGACATATCAGTTGCGGCAGTAAAATTGTTCCAAAATATTCTGTGTGTTGATTATTACCCCCTCCTATAAATTATTGAAAAAAAATCTTAAGCATCAACTCCTGCGTGCCGACACCACTTTGATACCACGAATAATCAATCTCTATCCAAATTCACACAATAATGAATATCTCTACCAACACTAAATATTCCACTTGTACAACACAAAAGTTAAAACGAAGATTTCTGTCCTTTATGGAAAGCATGACGACCACTAAGCATCAAAATCAGTGCTAAGAAAGACACATTACACTTACTTGATCGATGTGCAACTGCAGTTCAACAAGCTGACTTCTTTTCCCCTCAATCCTAGCAGCATTTTCGTTGGACTTTTGCTGAAGAGCAATCACCTCTTCCAATTTCACCACAGTACTTTTCTTGATGTCATCCGCAAATGAGTTAAGTGCAGGCTTCAGCGTGACTTTGTAATCAATACCCATGATCTCAGCAGGCGTGGTTCCCTTGGGATTCAACACATATTGAATGTCATTACCAATCTTCAACCTAGAAGCACATGAAAGTAAGAGTTTGCTTAATAATTGATTCCCTATTAACATTGACACGGCAGTGAATGAATTTATCTAGTTTAGATGCAAATAGCCAAATAGGTCACGTTCAACTAGCAATTATGATAAGAAAATAAAATGGGGCACGATACAATACAAGAGGAAAAGAAAAGAACCTCTTAAGGGCTTGGTTGCAATCTATTGTGAGAGCTTCTAATTCTTTGATCATATTTGCGAGACTACGGTCAAGCTCCCAACACTTTTCCTCCCAATCATTTGTAGCAAGTTCAGCCTCTCCAGCATCCCTCTCAGCAGCCTGCAACTCTCTTTTCATTCTCTCCACATCTCTAGTACTGAAAGGCTGTGCCTCCACCTTCCTCATGAGGTCTTTATTTTCCTCACAAATCATTTCCCTCTCCACGGCCTTAGCATCCAACTGTTTCTGCTTCTCCACCAAAACACTCTCTGCCGACTCAATTCGCGACCCAAACTCCTCAATAATCTTGTGAAACTTATTCACATCACTTTCAAGCATTTCCTTCTCTTTCTCAAGAGAATCTTTCTGAGAGGGAGCAGACCTCAATCCCTCTAATTCAGACTCCAATTCAGAGACCTTTTGTTCGGTGGCAGCAAGCCTCTTCTGGGCGTTAGACTTCTCATGGAGAATCTTGCTGTGGATGTCCTCCTCGAGTTCGGAGATGGCTTCGTCATCTCCTCTAATGAAATTGAGATATGCGTCGACACTATATTGGAAGAAGATGTTGTTGTTTTGGAGAGTGGTGGTGTCGGAGGTAGAAGAAAAAGAGAGATTAAGTTGACAAGACTGAACAAGCCAATGAATGAGGGCGAGCATGGAAGGCCATTGATGAGGTGCAGCGGGGGATTTGAGAACAGATTTATTGAGTTTGTGAGGGTAACTCAAGAATTTGAGAAGTGGTGGAAGATCTTCGATTTTGTTTATCTTGAAATCGAGGAGTCCGACGAGGAAGATTAGGGTTTTATGGATGTCTTTAGCGGAAGGAGAGGAAGAAGGTTTGAAAGAGACATTGAAATTCTGAGAGGAGAGGAATGAATTGATGGTTGCGGTTGCATTCTGTTGGTACGAACGGTCTTTGTAAGGATCGAACGAAGGTATTCCGACGGAGGATTGGTGGCTACTGGCTAAACTGACGTCGGAGTCACGGTGGGTGTTAAGGGGAGTTGGTGGAAAGTAGGAGGAGTCTTTGGGTTGGCGACGGAGGTTGCTACTTCCGCCGGGAGCTCTCATCTTGCGCGGTTTGAAACCCTAACGATCTTCTCTTTCAGTGTTCCTTACCTACTACCGTTACAAATGTTTTCTTCAATTTTTTGGTGGCAAATTCAAGTATTTACTTTTTTTTGAAACTTCAATTTGTCTTTTCCTTTCCCCCTCCTACTCGTTTTTCTTTACTTAAATTATCTTTTTGAAAATATATTGGTGAACACTTTGTACCCGATTGTTTTAATGGGGTACTCATACCCAAGTGAGGTGTCCTAATTAAAAGAATTCATGAGTATCAAATACAGTACGTTAGGGGGAAATTTATTTAAATTATAAAATCAATTGTTTAATATTTTTCAAAGATAATGCTAATTTATATCACCAGCCCACAAATTAAAAATTAAAAGTATAAATAATATCTATTGTTTTGATATTTAATAACAGAATATAAAGATTTTATCATTCTGTACAAATCAGAGATACAAAAAAATATGGAATGGAGTGAAATGCATTCCATCCGATTCTGTTCCATTCCATCTATTTTAAATCAATCCAAACAGCATAATTTAAATTTATACTATTTCATTCATCTCATTATATTCAATTTCATCAATCCAAACATATCTTTAAGAATTATTTCTTTCATTTTAATGTCATTCTTAAATAGTCCCAATCATAAATTTATTTTAAGATAAAATTAAAATTTAACAACAAAATACATAAGATATAAGTTTGATTTTTTTAATCCTAAATAAAAAATAAATTTGATTATTTCTTTCTTTACTGTTGTCAAAAAAGCAGATGAATATGATATCTTTCCATTCTTTTAAATGTGAATTACGTTAAATCAAACAGATTCTTTCACTTTGATTCATAAATTTGTTATATCAGAAACTTCACAAAAAATTCATAGAATATATTGAATACTAGATCTTAATATTTACAGTGTCAGAAAATGTTTCCAAATATATAACATAATGGAAGTATAATAAAAAAATCAAATTAAATTCTTTTAATAAGTATCATCTGTATGCTACCTATATGTTCACATCATATGGGTTTTGGTATCCTTTCAAACAACGAGGGTACGTAAGAATTTGCCAAATATATTTATTTATGTTTTAGATATAAGGAAATAATTTTGTATGGTTGTTTGTGTTTTTTTGACCGCTACTTTGTTAATGTTTGTGTTTCATCTGCTCAACACGTTTCAGATGGTGTGAGGGGAGAGTTGAAGATGAACGAACACAACTTTGGTTAGTGGTGGTTTATGAGCGAGAATAAGAGAATTAGATGGTCCATTTTGAGTTCTATTCCAAAAAAGTAATTTGAATCTCCAAGATGCTTAAGGGAAAATGTTGCATTGAGATTGGAAATGAGAGTTTGCAAGAGAGAATAAGAGTTTCTGTTGGTGATAATATCATCCACATAAATCAGCAAAAGAAAATTGTGTGCCAATTAAAGAAGTAAGCAAACAATGAAGGGTCACACATGCTAACCTTGAACTGAAGTTGAAGAAAATATCATTTTCAAAGCCGGCACACCAAAGTGGGGTTGGAAATTTCAAAGCCCTTAGGTTGCTCCATAAATACATCTTCATCAAGCAAGTCATTTAAGAAGGCATTGTTTACATCAAGTTGCTGGATGAACCAACTTTAAGTGAGAGCAATGGATAAATTGATCTTAATGGTAATAGGTTTGACCACAGGAGTTAAGGTTGCATTAAAGTTAAAATATTGTCTTTGATGAAAATTTTTGGCAATTAGTCTGGGAAATCACGATCCAAAACACAATGGAAAATTAAAATTTTCCTTTTAGTAATCCTTACGAATGAGCATGATCAGTGATAAAAACGGTTACCTCTTGTGGTGATTAACAATTTTGATACAGATTCGGATGAATGATCACGAGCGTTGAATAAAGAACAACACCTGTACTCAGTCCACACGAACAGAGTGTCTTCAATCTCAGTGCTAGCTGCTACGAATAAAGACTTTGAGTGAGAGAGAGAGAGAGTAAGAAAGAGAGAAATACAATCAGGGTTTCACCAACTGAATTTCATCAAATTATAAAACTTCTATACAATAGTTGTATTTATAGAACCACTTATGTAGGTTGCTGGCTAAAAAATCCAACTTAAGTGCACCATATAATAATAATAATAATAATAATAATAATAATAATAATAATAATAATAATAATAATAATAATAATAATAATAATAATAATAATAATAATAATAATAATAATAATAATAATAATAATAATAATTATTATTATTATTATTATTATTATTATTATAATAAATATATTTTATTATTATTATATTGTAATAACTATAATAATAATAATATTAACACTTATTATTATATCATCGATGTTCCATATTTCAAATTAATTACAACGTATTTTACGGTGTTCCATAATTCTCTCAAGTACATTGTACCTTACGGTGTTCCTTATTTATTCTATCTCTCATCAATCTGTCTTTATGTGTGTGACTCTGTAGGTTCTCGTGACATTGACAATTATTTAAATCATATATTTAATATAATAAACAGTGAGTGGTATCTAGTAACACATCACTGTTATCCAAGTCACAAAAATTTCATGTGATCTGACAAAACCTGTTTGCGATAGTACTTGTGTGTACAATTACCCTTTTACCCTTATGTCTATATTGAACACAAGGCATATACTGTGTCACCCTTGTCAAGTTCAATATTGGACTCTTAGACTTTTATCTTGTTATGCAAGATGAGCAAATTTCATCTAGGTCACTCATGTCCCTCAGCATGCTTTGTGGAGTACCCATCAAATGTCTTTATGATCATTCAGTTACGGACAATGTTAGATCAGTAATAAAGTACTCGACTCTACATCTAGGGTCCATAGTGGTTTCAGGTTGAAAGGTGGTATACACCACTATCATCATGAGAGTAACTTATGACACTTTGCATAACATTCTATGTATTACTCTCATAGCGGGTCATTGCAGTATAAATGTTACTCCTAATATTCATACCTATATTAAGACTTGATAACTCCTTATCCATGATCCATGAGATATGACACTACGCCAAAAAAGACATTTGGCAGCGCATAAAAGACAGCGCTTTATGAAAAAGCGCTGCTAAAGAGTCATGAAAAAAAAATGAAAAAAAATAGCATACCTTAGATAGCGCTTTCTGAAAAGCGCTGCTAAAGGGGGGCCCTAAGACAACGCTTTATTAAAAGCGCTGCTAAATGTATGCCCTAAGAAAGCGCTTTTGTAAAACGCTGCTAAAGGGGGGCCCTAAGAAAGCGCTTTTGTAAAGCGCTGTTGTAGGTGTAACCTACGAGAGCTTTTTCTATATAAGCGCTGCTATATGGTGTATGAAAGAAAGCGCTTTTAAAAAGCGCTGCTATATGTCATGCCTAAGGCACACCTTAGAGAGCGCTTTTTAAAAGCGCTGTTATAGGTATAATTAGAATAAATTTAAAATACCCACCATAATTTTTAAAAGAAACAAAACAGTCGTACGTGTATCCTTCTTTCTCCTCTGGCGAACGTTGCCCTATTCATCACGACCGATTCCGTCGATTCCCTCCATCCGACAGTCGCCGACCGTCACCCTCCTCCGTTCATTCCGTCTGCATTGCATTTCGCCGCCGTTTGTCCGTCCATTTTCGACAGCCTCCGTCCGTTCATTCTGCAGCGCATTTCCGCCATTGTTACGGTATTTGAAGTTTTTCATTTTTCATTTTTCTGGATTATTGTCTTAGTTTTTCATTTTTCTGAACTAATAGATTTAAACTTTGGATTGAAACTGATTTTTAGTTTATTGGTTGTAAAGTTAGTGAATGTGGTGGTATATTTGAACTTTGGATTGAAACTGATTGTTTGGTTGTAAAGTTAGTGTTAAGGATTTCATGAAGAAGTTAGTTTTTGAATTGTGACACTGTTAGAACTATTGCAGTTAGTTTTTGCAATTAGATGGAATTACGATAGTGAGAGATTTCTTATTTAGTCTATAGTGAGAGATTGCAGCAATTACACGAATGTTGCGAGGAAAGTGAAGTTAGTGTGTAAAAGTTGTACAAATGGAGAATGAATAGAATCAAAAAAGGAAGGGAAAAGTGAGAGAAATGGAATAGTTAGGTTTGTTTTTAACTTATCTATATAACACATTCAATATAATTTTTAGTTTGGAATTTAAATAACAATAGTTTGGGAGATTAAAAGTAGTGAATTCACATGTGAAAAATAGGTTTACATTGTCATTTAATAAAATTCATCATCCACCCACGTCATATAATTAATTAAAAAATATTAATGTAACTTGATAGAGCATATTTTTTTTCATAGTTTGGAAATTCCTATTTTTTAAGAGAGTAGCCAACATGAATATAAATATAAGTAAACTCTATACCTATCAAAATGGTTAGATCATATGGGTTGGCCAACATGAATCTAAATATAATTAGAGTTCGACTTTATAAGAGTTTTAGTCTAACTTTAAAATATCAGCTATTTATTAGAGTTAGTTCGTATGAAATATGAGTAGTCCGTTTGACCCATATAATTAAAAATTCTTAAATTGTACTAATATTTATGTCAAGTAGTTCGTATGAAATATGAGTAGTCCGTTTTATGGTATTTTAGTTTGTTCCTCATTTTATACTTTCTTAGTTGTTCCACCTTTTTCTTTTAATATTATAAGGCGTTATTAAAAGAAATTATCAACTATATAAGAAGTTGTTACATTATTGCAAGTTTTATCAACAATTGATGTTCCAAGAACTATTTAATATTGATGATGTTATTAATTTTGTCTGTTATAGGGGTTACCTGTGAAGAGCAAGGTTGTGATCATTTTCAAGCATCCTACTGTGTAACTTTCTTAGAATTTAGTGATTTCTTTACAGGTATTCTCTATTTTTGTTTAACTTTCTTAGTTTAGACTACTCAATTAGTATGGATAAAAAATGGATGTCTTCTAATCGATTGTCTAAAGAGTACGAGAATGGGGTATCGAAATTCGTTA